TTCTCAAAACGTCAGTTGCGCGTTTGAAAGAACCGGAATTAACTTGACGTCAATAAAAGCTTGCGTCCGATAAAGCTTACTTGAAAACAACAAACGAGAGACGATACATGCTTGCGAGTGTAGGAAACATGCTTGCGAGCCGGAAATAACGAAGCTTTATATGTTAAATGACTCTAATTCGAGTATCAAACAAACAATAAGGAGATTAGTGAACCGGTGAGTGTGAAATCTTTCTATACATGAACGTAAAGACCATCGACGGTTTTTTTTTTTTGCTGACGTCCTTAATCAATAAGACATTCAGTATAATAAAATAAATGGTGCCTGTTTTGGAGGGTAACAATTGAAATTGACACCCCAAGGAAAACCATTGTCAACCGACGCGTCAGCGCTTTGAAACCGTTTTTTTAACCGAATAATTTTTTTTGTGTGAGAAACAAATCACTAGCTTTTATTGCCCCTTTTCAATCCTTGATTACTAATTTAGATTGAAAATTTTAAATTTTAGAATTTTATATGCTTGAATTCGTGAGCAGATGGAAATGTCTAAAAATGAAACAGAAATGTCAGACTCCGCAGTGTCTTTTTAAGTTCAGAGGGATAGATGTAGGATCGATTGCTTGAATGGTTGATTGATTGTTGTTGTTTTACGACCCATTCGAAAATTTTTGACAACAAAGACATGCTTGCGAGTGTAGGAAACATGCTTGCGAGCCAGAAATAACGAAGCTTTGTATGTTAAATAACTCTAATTCGAGTATCAAACAAACAATAAGGAGATTAGTGAACCGGTGAGTGTGAAATCTTTCTATACATGAACGTAAAGACGATCGACGGTTTTTTTTTTGCTGACGCGTCGGTTGGCAATGGTTTTCCTTGGGGTGTCAATTTCAAATGTTACCCTCCAAAACAGGCACCATTTATATAAAATGCATCAATGGTGATGCAAACCAATGAACATCAAGGACAATTTTTTTGTTAAGTGATTCTTGGTTGAAGTTTAAAAATTCTCTGATGTCATGGAAAAACTGCAGCATCACATCAATGTCTTTATTTCCTGTGGCAATGCTTCATTGAAAGCCAAAAGTGTTTCTTTACTGATTATCTTCTGAGACTTCCTATCATGGAAGAAGTTTTCGAACATTGCCCACGAGCGTGGCAGTTCTTCTCCCAAGTGATCCATTTCTTGGACGACTTCAACAATTGAACTCTTAACTTCCTCAATGCTGTCACTGTCATGAAATCCAACTGCAAATCGCCTTTTAACATTTAGATGCCTTTGTAAGGATTTGTCCTTTGTTTCTAAAGTCTTCCATATTTCTCTGAAAAAGGCTGTTTACCCATGTGTAAAAAAAATATTGGTTTCGTTAGTGGACTTTTGTTATAAAACTAGATGCGTTTGAAATTTATATCAAAGTTGATTTCAATCAGATCAAAACTGTAGGAGAAGCGTTTTGAGAACATCTCCCAATATATCTTTTTATTTTTAATAACCTTGGCTATAACACTCATGAAAAAACTCAAAATCTACAATGAACAGGCCCATGGGCATCGCTTACCTGAGCACTGAAGCTTGGAAAAAAAAGCAGAAACTAGCTTATCATTACAGTTTAAAGGGGAGAAGGTATGATTTGAGCAAACCTGCATCTACACTTATTAAGGATGCTTGCAAATTTCTTTGACTACCTGTGTCTTTATTGCCCTTTACATTTGCAATTACATTGTGGACCCGCCCTACCCCCCTCCCCCTCCCCCCCCGGGGGGGGGGGGTCATGATTTGAACAAACTTTAATCTTCACCACCCGAGAATGCTTCCATATAAATATGATCAATTATGGCTTTGTTATTCTTAAGAAGAAGATTTAAAAAAAAACAGCACTGTAAAGGTCTACTCCTAGATTTTTTCACTTTACTTCCCAAGGAAGGAGGGATGTTGATGTTGGCCTAACGTTGGCCCACTGTTTGTAATACACTCTTAAAGAAAGTGTCTTTTAAAGTTGGTAGTAGTATGTTGGCCCAACGTTGGCCAGATGTTTGTAATACACCCTTAAGGAAAGTGTCTTTTAAAGTTGGTAGTATTATGTTGGCCCAACGTTGGCCCGATGTTTGTAATACACCCTTAAAGCAAGTGTCTTTTAAAGTTGGTAGTAGTATGTTGGCCCAACGTTGGCCCGATGTTTGTAATACACCCTTAAAGCAAGTGTCTTTTAAAGTTGGTAGTATTATGTTGGCCCAACGTTGGCCCGATGTTTGTAATACACCCTTAAAGAAAGTGTCTTTTAAAGTTGGTAGTATTATGTTGGCCCAACGTTGGCCAGATGTTTGTAATACACCCTTAAAGCAAGTGTCTTTTAAAGTTGGTAGTATTATGTTGGCCCAACGTTGGCCCGATGTTTGTAATACACCCTTAAAGCAAGTGTCTTTTAAAGTTGGTAGTAGTATGTTGGCCCAACGTTGGCCCGATGTTTGTTATACACCCATAAAGAGTGCGTCTTATCAAGTTGATAGTAGTATGTTGGCCTAACGTTGGCCAAATGTTTGTAATACATCCTTAATAAGGTGTCTTATCAAATTGGTACCGGGGTAGTAGTATGTTGGCCCAACGTTGGCCCGATGTTTGTTGTACACCCTTAAAGAAAGTGTCTTATCAAATGGGTAGTAGTATATTGGCCCAATGTTTGTAATACACCCTCAAAAAATGTCTTATGAATTTGGTAGTACATTGTAGTATGTTGGCCCGATGTTAGCACGAGGGTTCTTTTGTTTAGGTGTTTCAAAGATGGGATATTTATATTGGGCCAACGCTGGCCCAATTATTATACTGCCAACTAAAGATGGTGTCAATTTTAGCTGTTGAGCTAACATTCTATGCCCATGCTTTTAATTGGATGACTGTTTTTGTTTAGATCTGATATATTCAACATTTTAAATTTTAATTGTGATCACAGCACCAAACAGTGTTTCATTATATTTTTTGAATTGTGCACATGCATGATTATTTATTTGAAATAAAACCCTTGAAATTATGAATTTTTTCATGAGCGTTGTATTCATGAGAATTTAGAGAAGACTGAATACGTTCTCAGGAACAGGATGTGAATGAAGCCTACATATACATAAATCAAAATGACACAGCTTTATAATTAAATTGAAACAAAAGTTAGGCGTTCGCTATTACGTGACCAAACTGTGGAGTGAGCTGTCAGATTCAATTGCTCACAGGTGGTGATAATGCAGGGCAAGCAAGAAGAAGTGAAATTTAAATTTGTGGATTATACACTTGCTATACAGCTGCATTTAGAAGCGATGTAAGTATATTTATTCTTATTTATTCAGATTAACTGTTAAAATTGATTCGGAATTCAGTCTTGTCATGTTTTTGCACACAAGCACTGTAAGTTAAGGTTAAATAACATCTTTTAAGTTGTTTCTATCTATATAATTGTTAACTGTCTATTACAGACACGATTGTAACAAAGAAATTCAGTCAGAGACTGCAAGGAAAACAAATGTTGTGGTGGTACATGTAAATAACAATGAAATCGAAGACCATGCATAAAGAAGTGTATACAGTATGAGTCCGTATGACAAAGATCAAGATGAAGAAAGCGGGAGGCGACGAAGGGACGGGAAGAGAGCGGGAATACAACAAATGGACTATAATAAAGGAAGTGAGCCCTGATTAAGAACTTTTAATTGATAATTTTTCATATTTTACCTCTATTGTCTATTTTAAAATTTATTTTGTAAATTATGATTGAATTGATGTATATAAAATATTATCACAGTGAATCATTAGTAATATTTTCATTGAACATGTCCATGTATGCATTATGGATGCAGATTGAATTGTGTATTATTTTAAACAGTCATAAAATAGGTTTATGTAAAGAATCACTTAACCAATTGCAAATGTTTCTATGTAATAACTACGTTGGCCCAACAATTTGCCATCTGATATTGTAAAAAAAAAAGGGTCAACATTGGGCCAACCTAACCAACCAGCTGTTAAGGTTGGCCTCTAGTTGGCATACACTAACTACGTTGGCCCAACAATATGTCATCTGACATTTCAACATAGGGCCAACGTTGGGCCAACCTAACCAAACAGTTGTTAAGGTTGGCTGTTAGTTGGCATACACTAACTACGTTGGCCCAACAATATGCCATCTGACATTTCAACAAAGGGCCAACGTTGGGCCAACCTAACCAACCAGTTATTAAGGTTGGCTGTTAGTTGTCATACAATTATACCTACGTTGACCCAACAATATGCCAACATGTTGGACCAACGTTGGGCCGATGAGCAAAATTACCGTGGGCCAACGTAAGGTTACCAACAATGGGCCAACGTTGGAAAAAAAAAATTGGGCCAACGTTGGCTCAACTATGTCTTGTTATCTGGGCTGTGAGAAATCAACGAAAAACAGACGTCCAAAAAGGGGGGATTTTTTTTTCAACTAAATTTATTTTAATTAAGCTGTTTTATTATCACAGAACGTAAATACTTATGGAAATAGCAAAGTATAATCCACTCTGTACTGTATGAAGTTTCGTCCCATGGATGGACAATCACGTGATGAATGCATAGTTTGTGTGCTGAATGTAGGTCATTAACAAATTTCAATATTGCAAGGGCATACCCTAGTTGAAATTAAAAATTCAAGGTATTAATTGTTTCTGCATACTTTGCAGTGCTGCTGCTTTGAATAAAATTCGCATTTTAATAGTTGAATTTTCATTTTATCAAAATCAAATACTGTTACTATTATACAGTTATATATTTATGTGTACTTGTATGCCAAGTTATATTAAAATCAGACCAGCTGTAAAAAGAGATGCGTTTTGAAATATTGTTTACAGACAGACGGACAGAGGACATTTTACTGTAACATAACCTCTTTCTGTCGCTGACTGATAGGACTAAGAACTAAACATTTTTTCTTCTCAAAACCATTCGACATTTACGCCTTACAGACTAAAAAAATACAAATGAATAATTATTTATCCTCAGCATGTGTACCAACGGGAAGGACAGTGGCCTTATCACTGCTGTATTGATGGAGAGACTTCACCCAAAATGTAAGATAATCTAAATATAAGAATAATCTTTTTTTTAATTGGACTTTTTGGTTAATTCAATGAATATTTGGAAATTTTGAAAATTTGGAATATCTACAGTGTATACACTTACACTCACAAACTTCTCCCAGTCAGATGTTGAGATCAATTGTTTGACTTCCTAAGGGTTATAAACTTATACTCCAACTTGCATACAACGTGTTTCTTTTCGCATACAAACAATTTTATAATTAAAGTGTATTAATTTATCATTTCTCATTTCTTTTAAATATGTATTCTAACAAACCTCTGTGTGTCCATTCTTTGAAGACGGAGCCTTTTTGGCAACATACTTCTTCTCCGACCTGGTCATAAAACTTCTTCTCCATATTGAGAAGCAGAATAAAGAACGCCCGGGGACTCAGAAAAATCTGGTGAGAGGCATAATACGCACACTGTCCAGCAAAATCCAGCATAGTGATTCTTTTCCCAGGATCATCAGAAACATTTCTCGTAACGCGTAAAACACCCGATATTTTAGAGTCTTGAGCAACATACTGACTTTCATCAACTTCTTCAGATGGTCTTTCAGACAAGGTATTAGCTTTGATTCCTTTCGCCAAACCAGCTTCATTGTTCATGTTGTCCCTTGTCATCTCTTCCGCACCGTCTGCTTCCCCTGCAAGGTTTTCTTTCACTACTGGTTCTTCAATATCCTGATTTTTCATTTTATCAGTTTCTTCTACTTGGTGTTTTGGAACGTTGTGGCTTTGACTGGTTCCCTCAAACGTTACTTTGAAGTGTTGATTTTGGTCTGATGAGTTAACTGAAAAAGAAATGTTGCACATTAGTTTTAATGATTAATAAATGATTTAAATCTGGTACATCAGATCCAGCACTTAAAGCAAGTCACATAGTATGCATTCCTAGATATACCATGGTCAACAGAATTCTACTGGCGAAATCTACTTATTGAGAGTTGACCTGTAACTTTAAACAGGCCAATAATCAATAAACTATAGATGAGATCCGGTATACAAAGCAAGTTTAGTATTATGTACCCCTCTCTGTAGTAAATATAATTACAAAGAAAATACCTTTGATAGTGGTTGACACGTCGAAGATGTCAGTATGTATGTCAATTCCTCTCGTTGATTTGGTCTTTTGTTGAATTTCGGCCACGTCAATTCCCTTCAGTCTCTCTAACGATGTCGTTTTCCCACTACCAGCACACCCTACTATCATCCCAGAGGCGTGGTACATCATTGTTCTCCCTTTCTTCAGATTCTCTATGTAGTTCTTCACTGATTTATTTCCCCTAATAATAATTTGCATAGTAATGCCAACTGTAAAAAGAATGAATTGAAAAAACCTATTGCATCACCTACATTTAAGAGTTCTTATTTCAACTTCAAAACACTGTTCACGGTAGTTCAATCGGTAGAGAGCTCGCTCCGTGATCGGGAGGTCTTGAGTTCGTATCTCGACCGCGTCTGACTCATTCGATAAAATGGGTAGCAACTGTTCCTTTGCCATGCGCTCGGCACTTTGTAGTGAAAGTTGCGGTTCCTTCGGATGAGAACTTAAAAACCGAGGGCTCGTGTCAGCGGCAGGCGTTGGCATGATAAAGATCCCTCACTGCTCAATGGCCCTGAGTGCCGAGTAAAGGTCAAAATTTGAAGCCCTTCATCGGCATACGGTGACGTCCCATATGAGTGAAAAATTCTCGAGAGGGACGTTAAACAATATACAATCAAATAACTTAAAAACTGTAAATGTAACTGAATATTTAGCTGCAGAACTGTAGAGTTTTTATCAAATACAATAACTATCTTTGATCATAACACTACAGATCCCGTAATACAATTGAAGTACAATTTACAGTGCTCTATTTTCTGTGCATGGCTATTATACATTATATGGATATTTTATTTTTTTTTTTTTCAATTTTCCAGAATTGTTCAATGAATTACCTTTCGCTCTCTAATTCATTATATATCTTTAAATCAACCTGCACATTCTTCAACACTAACCCCTTACACTTCTATCTACAGAAAAGTATACTTAGTTGTTTTAAATTTTGTGCCATCTAACATAATCTTTGAAAGGTCTAAGGCTGTACGAGGGGCGTTCAATAAATAATGTCATTGGAACTCGGAAAGAAACAAAAAACATTTTTTATCACTTAGTCTTAATGATTTAACTTAAATATTCTCTTTCAATCAAAACGCATATCCGAAACATTTTCATTCAATTTCTAATTGTTTTTCGAACACATTTTTGAGTATGACCCTTCGTATACTGCAATATGGCATATCCTAAGATTTGTTGTACTTGTTTGTTCTTTCTGATAGATGTTTTTCTAAGTTTAGGAAATAGAACAAGTCAAAGGTTGAAAGATTTTGTTGCTCAGCTATGTTAAGGAAGGTCAGAGTTCACTTCCCTTGTACAACGTATTGGAAGTTTAATTGAGAATAAAATTTAACGATATGATCATGAGTAAATAACAACTTGAATTTATTTATTTTATCGATTATTTATAAAATCTTGTAAAATTGCAATACTTGATAGCAATGCAATGCATTGGAGTAATAGAAGAAAGTCTTTCGTCAAATATGACGTCATCAGCCTTGACATGACGCAGTACAGGTGATCCAGAGTAATAGATTCACTGGTTTAATAATTACAAGAATGCTTAAAAAAATATTATACCATCGCTAATTTTTAAACCTTATCATTAAAAATAAAAGAAAATAATTTATTAAATACAATGTGTGTATTGAATATGAATTTATCTAGCAGCAATGGAGCTGCACAGGGACGAGGAATGTAGAGAAAATCGTGAACACGATGAGCGTATTCGTGATTTACATCAAGAGTGCAAGGGCATAGACTATTTTGTATGAGCTGAAATTTGGAACATTTATTGTTTATATAGTTGATATTTTGAAAAGTGCTGGGAGTTGATCCTGGTCTGCATAATATTATATTTTTTATAACAGATTTTCAGCGATGTGTAAATTTTTGCTATTATAAGCATTATCGTCAAAGTTTTCAGTACTTCACAAACAGCACTGACTAGCTCTCAGCACATTTTGGGTAGAGGAAATAAACATCTTTTAATGTGTATCAATTTTTTTCTTGATAAACAAGCATATGCCCTTGCGCCATCTCCATTTCCCACATTCTGCTTATCAATTCTTTTTTTTATACAAGTCACGTGACAAACACCGGATATAACATATAACTGGTAATAACTACAGCCCAGTCCTATCCATTATTAATGGCTATATCACATTTTCTACAAGTATTCAATTGCTTTGTTACAATTTTTAAAAAGAAGTAATACATATTAAAACGGTGCATGTGTCTTATTTTCCATATCGGTCATTAACATAGCTAGGTGGTGTGACAATTTTTAAAAAGAAGTAATACATATTAAAACGGTGGTGTGACAAAACATTAACTTTCTGTTTATCCCCAAACCCCTTTACTCTTCATGACCTGTTGGTTTGGACGCCGTCATGAGACATTTAATGTAGTGAATTCCTTTTCTTTTTTCCTTCCTCTCATAAACCTTTCATTTTTTTGCAAAGAAAAAAAAATGGTTTTCGAGAATCCTCCAGAAATTGAACTGCCTCCCCGAATAATAATTTGGATAACAAGACCGTTAATATTTAAGAAATTTGCATATAAATATGTTTTATTGCTATTGCAATTCTTTGCTCTTCTTAGGCCATTGCAGTTTTGTCAAGTGCATTTCTTTAAATTTGTTTTGAGGGCTTAAAGCAAAACATCTTCGCTAGCCAAGGGTTTCCGATCCGATAACTTCTCTACAACCCTTGGCAGATTTAGTCCTATCAAACGGGAACTTTTATTGCGCCGCCTATCGCCGTAATTGAGTTAAGTCCCTTGAAGCTCTTTAATATTTGTCCAATGAAAATAGCTGTAACATACTTAGATCAATATGACGTTTGAAACAATATGGCGACCTCCATGTGGAATATATCCAAACAACTTCATACAGCTGTGGGCAGTCGGCACACCTCAAAAGTGGTAGAAAGTATCGTTCTTCGTGGATCTTTAGTCAAGAGTTTGACACTATTTTCTACTTGTTGTCGTATCAATTATTATCAATGAGCCATGACATTTGATTGGCTTAAATTGATGCATCTAAAATGCGGAATACGGACTTATGTGGTCCTTTCAATAATTCAAAAAAATTCAAATTAATTAATCCCTTGTTTTTTAAGCATAGATCATGTACTAACTTTCATCCATTGTAAATATTACTTTTATTTTGTGCATTAAACACGAACAGACTTTAATTCAGCCGAAAATCGTCGATTATTAAAAACCTTGCGAAGACTCGGACTTCGCAGCCAATCAAATTCGTTTGCGCGAGTTCTTAAATTTTCGGCCAAATCTGCCAAGGGTTGTAGAGTAGGTATCGGATCGGAAACCCTTGGCTACCGAAGATGAAAGCAAAATGGAGCTTCATTATCTGTTAGAATTTCAAACAAACGTGGATAAGTACAATTTTTGATTTTTAAAAATAATTGTGTGGATATTCCTACACGATGCTGTTTTCACTCATTTTTTTGAAAATATAGGGTGACCTTTGAGGATTAAACTTTGTTTCTGTAAAATGTTTCTTTAAAAGAGTATGAACTATATCCAAAATGATTTTGATCAATTTTGCAATGTGTCTTTAAGTCAATAAAACATAATCAGTGATAATTTATTGAAATTTCGCAAATTTACATCGGTTGTTGTAAGTCATTATTGCCAAGGACGGTACCCATTTTGATGCACATTATATAATGTAATATGCATGGGGGTTGGACTTTAGAATTTTGCATATTAATTAATCACAGGCTGATGGTGGAGTGTTCTTAAGTGAAGTAAAGTAGCATCCAGTTGTAAATTCATAAGAAATGTTTTATTGTTCATGTTATTTCATTATCTTATTGTTTACTTGAATTATTGATGCAATACACATTGCACTTCGACATTGTAATGTAAACAAATGCTGTTTTTGTGTTACTAGACAATCTAGTGAGATATTGTTGAACAGACAGTAAGGGACAGTGATACTAAGATGTTACATGTCAGTTTTTCATCATTATCTACCATATTACGACTGTAATTTACTTACTTATTTCAGCATTATCACATGTGTTGTAAATTGGGCGCCTGCCATCTTTCTTACGAAGGAAATAGTCATGTGACATAAACATTGCCGTTTTACAATTGATAAGATCGAAATAACACTGTCCGTGTCTTCTTATATTTATAATTGATACTTAAATGTTATTTTATTGCAGTATTGTCATTTAATTATGTTTTATTTGACAAAATGTTTTGGAACTTGAATGTGTAGCGTAATACTTATGGTTTGCATTATTGTTCGGTATTACTACGCCATGGATTGTGTGTGTCCGTTTTATTACAGATTGTTTGTTGAACTTGTTTTATTATGTATATCGAATAGAATTTATAGCTCCTAAGTTACAAGTAGAGAGGACATTTTGAGTGATGTTATTTTCTTTGTTTTACACAATATGTATGTAAAGTAGTTCTGAGGGGCTCCAGAAAGGACAATTATTCATTGGTTTGTTGTGATCACGTGACCATCACAGAAGGTTATATATACGAGCAGCGAACGCCAGTTTCATCACGAAGATCGTAACGATCAGATCATATTACGTCATCAAAATCACTGACTGTAAATTACTAGCGACTTAGGTATAAAAAAACAATGTAAACTATACAAATTAAGTAGCGTATAATTTCTCCACCGCACGGACACCGCAATCCACTGTATTTTATTAGACCAGAGATGTTAAGCTAGGACTTAGACTCATATAGATGTATTGACTGTTTTGTTATATTTCGTTGAAGTCTTTATTAAATGAAATATTTGAAACGAGAAATGGAACTTGGTTATGATTTACAGGAATGTGAAGTAAATTATCAAGGGTGTTTAAATACATGCGACGGGCGGAGGATGCCCCCCTTTTATATGTGGACGGATGTCATGAGTAGTCCTGATAAAAGTTAATTAACTGAATTTACACGGTATGGAAACATTGTGAGCTGATTGGCATTTGACAGGGTGCCGAGGAAGCTTACAATTTTTGGTGTCAGAAGTGGGATGTCCTGCCATACACGAGGACATCTAGGATACGAACATGTACCTTAATACCTGTCAAGTACTAAAGTAGGGTGGATTGCGGACTGTCGTGTGGTGGAGAATAAAAAAATCTATTTTTTATAGAGATGTACATATGTTCTTGTTACTGTTTATATAGTTAAAAATGGAGGATGCTACTTCGCCGGATCCTGAAGTATTTATAAATGAACATAAGGAAAATGTTCAGTTAGGCCAAGGGGACGAAAGAGATGACTGTAGGAGGAACACTGATGATGAATATTTAATGGCAAATGAAAATCCTTTGGGAAGACATGACAGTGACGACGACGACGAAGTAGGACGTAATTTCCGTCGGCGATCTGATTATCAGTTAGCTGACGACGCACAAAGTGATCACCATCGCATTTCTACACTTATGATCAAACCCGAACCCTACAATGGAAAAGAAAGTTGGGAGGAATACTTTTCTCACTTTCAAGACTGCGCTGAACTTAGCCACTGGGACGACAGGACAAAACTTCTTTTCTTAGCCGCTAGCTTACGCGGACAAGCCAGGACTTTCTACATGAGCCTAACACTTGAGGAAAGACGCACGTTTAAAATTCTTGTTCAGCGTATGGACCAGAGATTTGGTAGCTCAAAACTCAAAAATAGGTGGCTTTCAAAACTGGAAATGCGTCAGAGGATGCCTGGGGAAAGTATTGCAGATGTTGGAGACGAAATACGACAATTATCACAAACGGCTTATAGTAACTTGGATATTGACGCTCAGGAATCGCTGGCTCTGAACCACCTTTACAAAATTATTCCCATTGAAATGAAATGCCGTTGTATTGACAAGGAGTGTAGCACTGTGGCAGAAGCGGTAGACGTCATTGAGAGATACGAGTCAATAATGGGGGATGGGGATAAAAAGAAAATAAATGTTAGACATGTGGATCAAGGACAAGTAGTCAAACAGCCAACTGGAGAGCAGAAATCAAATAACTTGGAACATACAATCAAGTTACTAATCAATAGATTAGAGAAACTGGAAAGTGCACAGAGAATGGAACCTCAGAAGGGCAATAACTCTTGGACTTGCTTCAACTGCAATTCACCAGATCATCTCATGAAGGACTGCCCAGACCGATGGACAAGAGGACAACCGATGACCACGACCTCTAACCTGAATAGGAGACATGGGAGTGGAAACATGAGAGATAACAACAGATATCATTAAGTTAGGAGTCGGCACAAGAGGAATGTCTTTCTGTTGGAAATGAAAATACTAGGACTATCGCACAGGGGAAATAACTCTCTCATGGGACAATGGATTTTATACAAAGGAAACATATTTGAAAAAACAATAGATTTTCTAGGATAGTGGATCTACTGCATAGATTATTTCATTCAAAATTTTTACTAAACTCTCAAAGGAAACTAGCTTTAACATACAGCCTGCTACCTCTGACATTCAGGATGTAAATGGGAATTTAATAGAGAAAATCGGGACCATTGTACTGGATGTATCTTTTGGAAAAGAAGCATTGCCACACAAATTTGTAATTTGCAAAATTTCACAAGATAGGATCCTTGGAAAGGACTTTCTTCTAAATTACATCACAAAGATAAATTACCAAAGGATGGGTGTGCTGTATTAACTTCAAAATGGAAAGGACCTTGTAACAGGACAACTAGATGACTTGACTTAATTTATAGGATAGGTTGATGATATATCGAGGCATCAACTTACCACCCTGGTTCAGGAAGTTCATACCACAAAACTAAATGATGTCGGACAGTAGTTTGATGATACCAGATTTTTTTGTTTTATTATATTGACACCTGTCTAAGGTGGATGTTGTCCTAGGTGGTGCACCACACTAGGTGAATGTGTAGATAGTGACTGGCCATTACTATTAGTGCACATTAGGACCTCAGTTGTCTAGGGCTGGGCCGGACTGTAGGTGGACCTCAGTTGTCTAGGATTAGACGGGACTGATGGGGAAACAGTTGTCTAGGGCTGGGCCGGACTGATACTTTTGTTGGTTTCAATCTACTACTGGAATAAAATTATAAATGGATAATTGATGCGACTTCCTGATCCTGGGAGGAATCTACAAAAACAATGAAGAATTAGACCTGATTGATTGACTGACTGATTTCCAAAGGAACCTACCTTTAACAACTACATACATTCAATTCTAACAAAGATTTCCAAATCTTGTACTAGCTTATGCACAGGGAGCTGTATACTTTATACTTGGGATGGATGGTGGATTTTAAAACAGACCTGTTTATCTGTAGCAAAGCTAAGAGGGGAAGAGATGGAGAAAAAAGAAGCAGAGAGATGAGATGGAGAGAGACGTAGCAGGGAGATGCGATGAAGAGAGACGTAGCAGAGAGACGAGATGGAGAGAGACGTAGCAGAGAGACGAGATGGAGAGGGACGTAGCAGAGAGACGAGATGGAGAGAGACGTAGCAGAGAGACGAGATGGAGAGAGACATAGCAGAGAGACGAGATGGAGAGAGACGTAGCAGAGAGACGAGACAAAGAGATGGAGAAAGAAGTAGCTGAAATGGCATCAGACGAACAGGCAGATGTGTGAGAATTACAGAAAGAAGCGGTCGAGTGCAAGAAGATAAAGATTTCATTGATGATGGAAGCAAGAAGCTGGCAGAACCAGAAGATTTTATATCAATTAAGACTGTAAATTCAGGAGAATTTGACTTTTTAAGTGGGGGGAAGTGTAATATGCATGGGGGTTGGACTTTAAAATTTTGCATATTAATTAATCACAGGCTGATGGTGGAGTGTTCTTAAGTGAAGTAAAGTAGCATCCAGTTGTAAATTCATAAGAAATGTTTTATTGTTCATGTTATTAAGGTCTTCCGTTTCCAACGGAAGACCTTCTACTGATTCTGATGATTAAGATTATTCTTATTATTCTTTTTTTTTTCCTTTTCCTAGACGCCAACTTTGAGGCCTCACATTTCACTCATTTCTCAATGGATTTTGCTCAAATTTTCAGAGTTTATAGACGTTACTAAACTCTATCAGAATGCTATCTAAAATTTCAAAAAGTCACTTCCGGTTCTGAGTTATTTCCCTTTAAACAAAAAATTACAGGCTTTCGTTTCCAGACAAAGGCTCAGAGACGGCTAAAGCTGGAGCAGAAATTTTACTGATTTTAGATAATAGAAGGATTGAAGTTGTGCATGGCGGTTTTTGTTTTTCGATTTCTTTATTCAAAATGGTGCTATACAGGGGTCAAAAATTAGAACGCCTAAAAGAGCGAAAATTTACACATATTTTGCTTTTTATCTTCTAAACTAAAAATATTTTGTTAAAACATATAGAACAAAATTTGTGCAGAATTACAAGATCTTTCAAATGATATCTCGAAAAAAGGGCTGACCCCTTAATTAAGGGATCTAGAGGGGCCAAAAGTTTTTTCCAGATATCTCAAAAAGTATTGAGAATTTGTAATACATCCAAGAAGCAAAGTTGTTCAAAATGTAAAGCTTAATCTATTGAAGTCGTCAAAATGCGTCCGGCGACGTCACTTCCGGTCTAACCGGAAGTAGTCAGAAAATGCATATTTTTGCCGTTCTTGACAAGTTTTTGGGTAACATTTGTCACTGGAAGCATAAAACTTAATTTTCCGTCCATCGACATCACTTCCGGTCAAACCGGAAGTAGCCAAAAATAGTTTATTTTTTAAAGTTTTGATGCAAGATTGAAATTATAAAGTGACTGGAGACGACTAAGCTCATTGCTTTCTTTTGTTGACGTTACTTCCGGTCAAAACAGGACGGAAGACCTACTCGTTGCTTTGCAACGAGCTTTGCTCTAGTTTCATGATCTTATTGTTTACTTGAATTATTGATACAATACACATTGCACTTCGACATTGTAATGTAAACAAATGCTGTTTTTGTGTTACTAGACAATCTAGTGAGATATTGTTGAACAGACAGTAAGGGACAGTGATACTAAGATGTTACATGTCAGTTTTTCATCATTATCTATATATTACGACTGTAATTTACTTACTTATTTCAGCATTATCACATGTGTTGTAAATTGGGCGCCTGCCATCTTTCTTACGAAGGAAATAGTCATGTGACATAAACATTGTCGTTTTACAATTGATAAGATCGAAATAACACTGTCCGTGTCTTCTTATATTTATAATTGATACTTAAATGTTATTTTATTGCAGTATTGTCATTTAATTATGTTTTATTTGACAAAATGTTTTGGAACTTGAATGTGTAGCGTAATACTTATATGTTTGCATTATTGTTCGTGAGAAAAACTTCATGAGAAAACATTATTTCTGAATTGTTATATTTAAACATTGGGCTATTTTTTCCAAATTGACAGGACTTGATTCGGTCGTGATTTCCTTGAAATTGAAACTTTCTGCAACAGCATTGTACTTCTCAATCCAAAGTCCCCCTTTTAGATTGATTCTGTATAATTTGCTGAGAAGAAGGCACATCAAAACCGCATCACCATCTACAAATTGTACAATGAATGTTACAAAGGACATTCAGTTCATATTTTGTGTAGCCTTTGATTACATTGGAGTTTATTATTTAGTTTGCTATCCCCCTTCACATAGATCTCTATCTTAAGAACCCTACATTTACAGACATCAGTTTAGGTACAATGGTATCCATTTAGAATAAAATTAACATTGATATTGGGATCTGAGGAATATAAAAACTTTTATAATTGCCTCTGACTAAGAGTAGACCAATTAACCTTTTTCAGCATCATTACAGTTTAAATTTAAAGTTGTTCGTTTTTGTTTATTTTACCACATGGGTATATATGTTTCTCGAGCATTTTTTCTCTCCTTTATCAGAACACTTTGATTGTAACAAACCTATCTGTGTGAGAACCTCCTCCAAGCTTCTCCTCACATCTCTACAGTCATGACCTCTATGATCTTCTGACAATGTGCATTCCTCACACAAGGGAACCTCACACGGAACACAAACCTCTTTCACCGTACCTCCGAGATGTTCTTTGCATTTTGGGTGGCCTGATTGTGAAGGATGGATTACAATTTGGAACAATTTCGACTTAAGCATGTTCATCATTCTTCGATTTTATATAAAATTAAAAAAAATATATAGGAAATTGTTAATTAAAGGTGTGTGAAATTTTAAGGCTCAACTGTTAGATCACCTGAGTCACTCAGGTGATCTATTGCAATCCGTTTTTGTCCGTCGGTACTTGTCGTTCGTCATTGTCGTGCCTGAACGTTTGAACAGTTTCTCTGAAACAGGTCAACCATTTTTAACCAATTTTGGCCAATGGTATCTATGGGTAAAGGGCACAAAAATTGTGAATTTCAAGGTAACCCCCCGCCCCCGGACCAGAGAGGTGGGATAAAACAATAAATATTAAGTCAATCTTTAAAAGAAATCTTCTATTTCTTTACAGGACTTCAAGCAGTCAATTTGGTGGCATGATTGTAATAATCAGTGGTGAGCCCTTTACCAAAATTAAGAAATTTATGGTCACAGGGTCAGGGGTTTCTTGTGTAAGGGCAGGGCTAAGTAGATCATACAGAGAAAATGTATTATTTCTTTGAAAATCTTATTCTCTTCCCCTGGGTACCAAACAACTAAACTACATACATAGTTATGATGAGGAAGAGTGCCTCTTTTAATTTTTTAATTTGAATTTCATAGTCCCGGGGTCATGGATTGTGGATTTAGAGTCTATAAATCATATAGTGAAAATGCATTAATTCTTTGAAAATCTTCTCTGCTCTGTGGTATTAAAAAGGCTAACTAAATACATAGTTATAGTGAGCATGATTGCCGTTTCCAAATTAAGAACTTCATGGCCCCTTGGTCAAGAGTTCTGGGACTTTGTTGATTATATAGAAGAATATACAAAATCTTCTCTGTTCCTGGATTTTAAAACCAAGAACATGGTTATGATAAGGAAGAATGCCTCTTCATTGCCTCTGGGTCAGGGTTTTTGGTGTAAGGACGGGGCTCTTATTATATAAATGCCAGAATTCCTTGAAAATCAATCCCTTTGCTCCTGGATATTATACAAATGATTTAGAAACATATTCATGATGTAGAAAGTTGCCTCCTCTAAAATGATTTATTTTAAGGCCCTTGGATCAGGGGTACTGGGAGGAAGAGGAGGCGTTACATGTTCTGAAAAAAGAAATCAATTTTTTGAAATCTGCTCTTTGGTATTTATCAACCATTTGTGATGAGCGAGGATGTCTTTTTGAATTTTTTTAAATATGTAGCCCCAAGGTCAGTGGTTCCTGTGGGTTGTTCTGCAAAACAGGCTAGAAAGGGGGAAATGCATTTTCTTTTCGTTACTTTGGATATTAAAAAATCAAAGTAAACATGCCAAATGTCAAGTTACGATAAGGACTGGTGCCTCTTTCAGTATTGTGTTTTCATGGCCTCTGGTTTAAAGCACGCACCAAATTCAATTGTTCGAAAGTTGTTGCATAATTCTTAGGTGACATATAAGGCCCATATATCAAAAATATGAGAAAGAGTTACAATCAAAACCTTGAAAACACTTGTGGATATAAAAGTGGAGAAGAATGTTTAAAAAACAAATGTAATTAACTATGATTACTAAATGAACTCTTCTTTTCATCATGAGCATACTTAATTACAAAAGCTTAAAAGTCAAAAAGTTTCACATAATTTTTTTTAAAATTTCACATTTAAAATTTTCGTGCATCTTGGTAAAACAAGAAATCTAACTAATGGTTACTAATACCCCGATCTTAATTGAATGCACATGTTCAGATATGAAAAGACACAATTAGAATCACGAAGTTGACATTGCATTTGTACAAAATTGAATCTCAACGAGTGTGCTTGAATTTTAAGCATCTGCGATGTGTACTTGCTGAGTAATGCATTTTCTTTTCGTTACTTTGATCTACCTCTGGGTATTAAATAATCAAAGTAAACAAGCCAGATGTATAGTTATGATAGGCAATAGTGCCTCTTTCAGAATAATGTATTTTATGGTCGCTGGTTTAAAGCACGAACCAATCTTAATTAGAATCTGGAATTTGACATTGAATTTGTAAAAAATTGAATTTCAACAACGAGTGTGCTTATATTTCAAGAATTTGTGATGTGTAGTTGCTGAAAAATCGGCCTAGATAGACCAATACCTGACCAGATCCGTATTGTCACGAGTAGACCTCATCAAAATTTAATAATTATATAATATTGCGAATTTATAAAGAATGCAACAATTAACTCTGATATATTCTATAAAACTCATTGATTATTTTGTACAACAAAGTATTTTTATATAGAGTGTAGATAGACAAGGAACATTGTTACTTACCGATCAAAGAGTACTTATATACAACTCTGTATATGTTGATTCTGTCGTTGTACCACGACCCTACCCACAGTAGGTGGGTTTTATGATCATAACTCAGGCTGTATGGTCTGTCTATCCCTTGTGGTGATGTCTTTATCCGTGTCAGGTAGTTACCGTCTCTGTCCAATATCAGTACTGACCAGGTGTTATAATCACAGATAAGAATGTCTGATGACGCGTCTGTACAGATTCCACCTGGTAATAGCCTTGTGTAGGAGAAGCGATACCTCCCTTCACGATCTGTCACCACTACAGCCCGACGCCGATAGTCAGAAACAATAATATCTCCATTACGGTTCTCTGTGATGTATCTAGGATTGCTATACAGTCTATAACCTGTGTTGTTGTCGTGCTGTATGGTCTGGATGTTTTCGCCTGTGGATTCGTATCGCATTACCTTGCCTTCCATAAATCCAGAACACATCCCGACCAGCAGGTCTCCAGTGGAGGGAGAGCTGTAGACACACTGTGGTCTCCATGATACTGTGTTGTTGTACTTTATTATTGAAGTTTTTACTTTGTTCTCTGTAGACAGCTTATTGATGGTATACGCACTGTCTATATAAATTAAATCACCGTCGGAGTTCACAGTATGTCCTCCCCAATCGCTAGCTATTTCTTTCAGATGATCTAGTTCTTCACCTGTTGTATTTGTCAGGATGAGATTGTAACCATCACTGATCCAGACCCGGTCTGATGTTACACGGGAAATGTGCCATACATTACTAACACCTGGCACTGTAAAGGATTTCTGTAGCACGAATCTATACATCTTTTACAGCGGACATGTATTTCATCTATGTCTCGAGGTTTTATTATAGAATCAAGTGCTGATTTCCTCAGTAAGTCGATCTCTCTGTAAATAACAACACAGTCTATTCATTTTCCTCTTTTAGAAGACGTTTTAAATATTGTCTGTACATTCAATTCAATTACATGGGTCTCTAGGCTTTGTACGAGGGACGTTCAATAAATAATGTCACCGGTGCTAGGAAAGAAACAAAAAAAACGCTTTTTACGAATTAATCTCAATGATTTAATTAAAATATTCTCTTTCAATTAAAACACATGTCCGTACCATTTTGATTCAATTTCTAATTGTTTTAGAACACATTTATTGGTATGGCAGATCCTATGAAAGGTATTTTTCAAGACTAGGAAATGAAACATGTCAAAGGTTCAAGATAATGGCCAAAAGTCAGATGCAACAAAACATTGTCTTTTTATCACCAGAACTCCTTTACTCTTCATGGCCTGTGGGTTCGAATGCTGTCATGAAGAAATTTAATGTAGTGAATTCCTAATTCTGGCTCCATCCTCTCATAAACTTTTCACTTTTTTTCCCCCAAAATCTTTGCTTTCTAGTCTCTTTAAGACATTGAATTTACTACCCCACTAAGAATTTGAATAACAAGACAACTTATATTTTTTTTAAAAATTACATAAAATTGCTTTTGAGCTGTTGCAAGTTTTTGCATTTTTCAGGCCTTTTCTGTTTTGTCAAGTGTATTTTTCTTCGCTTGTTTGTTTTGATGGTTTATAGCAAAATGGATTCAAGTTTCATTTTCTGTTTTAACTTAAGACAAAAATGATAAGTACATTTTTATTAATTTTTTATATGTATTGTTTAGATATTTCTGCACGTTGTCGTTTTCAATATTTTTTTTTTAAATATTGGGTGACCTTTGAGTACAAAACATTTATTTTCTATCAAATGTTTCTTTAAAACCGTGTGAACTACCTCCCAAATGATTCTATTAAATTCTACCAAATTCCTATGTGTCTCAAAGTCAATCAAACATACTCAGTGATAATTTGTATAATTTTCGCAAATATGCATTGGTTGTTGTATGCCATTATCGCCAAGGACGGTACCCATTTTTGATGCCCATTAAATAATTTTTGTTCATTGAAATCCATATGCTCATGTCCGATAAAACACACATTGATTGCTGTAAATTTCACATGTTTCTTTTAATATATCTTTGGGATTCTTAACAAGAGTCACTGCAGCTTTAATAGGGCGTTTAATTAAGGTCTTTCGTTTCCAACGGAAGACCTTCTATTGATTCTGATGATTAAGATTGTTATTCTTTTTTTTCTTTTCCTAGACGCCAACTTTGAGGCCTCATATCTCACTCATTTTTAAACAGATTTTGCTCAACTTTTAAGACCTTATAGACATTAATAAAATTAATGAGAATGCTCTCTAACATTTCAAAAATTTACTTCCGCTTTTGAGTTATTTCCCTTTAAACGAAAATTTATAGTCTTTCATTTCCAGATAAAAACTCAGAGACCACAAAAGCTGGAGCAGAAATTCTACTGATTTTAAATAACACAAGGATTAAAGTTGTGCACACCAATTTTATTTTTCAATTTCTGTGTTCAAAATGGCTGTCACAATCAAAGTTGATTTTGCTACATGTGTATTTGTTTTCCATTTTATTAGTATTGCCCTGTGTTGACCCTTATTTGTATTTGGTGTTTATCCTGCACGGAGCCCCATTGTGACGCTTAGGTGATTTAAATACTTGGCCAGTCGCTATATAAGGTGATGTCAGGTTTGTCTTGGGTAGCGCACGTTTTCCTTGACCAGTGGAAGTAGTTTCACATGTCCATGGAGGGTTAGGTAGTTTTATTCGTGGTAACTGAATCTCCAATCAGGGTAAGTGCAATTTACTTACATTTATTAAATATATCAAAAAGTAATGCAGTATTATGTTAATTGAGCTTATTCTATTTTTATAAAGAAAAAGAAAGTGTTTGAATTGTATACGGGAATTTTACCACGTGCACATGCAGTGAGTTTAAGCGTAAAGTAATGATTTTAGTTTATTACTCAAACTGTAACGTTACATTGTATTATTATTTTGCTTTGCGAAGCGGTGTGATACATGTTAGTTAAAACTGTATGTTTAAACAAGTATATGTGTAAACATTTATGTTATGTTGTAAGGCAGCCCGTTCAGAGTCAAGCTTATCATGTCTACGCATATTTGTTGAAGGTCCCTATTGATACATGTACGTTAGTATGATTTGGTGCTGTCGGCGGAGGCAACCTAAGGGCGTGGTACGCTGGGCCGAGACCGTGAGAGAGGAAACGTGGTTTCCCGGATTTGGCAGCATTGCAGACGCTTAAGACGCGTGGGATAGGTGCGGGACGTCGAGGACGTTGTGGCATTTGGTGCAAGGGCGTGGTACCCGTAGGTCATGGACCGTTAAACACAGGAGGCGGGGACGGATATAGGAACGTGGTCTCAGAAAGGACACTGATAGACATTTTGAAATTCTGTATTTTCATTTTGTATATTTGTATATATTTGTTTTTATATAAAATTGTAAATACAACAATCTTGTTATCACTGATCAAGCTTAGGGTGTCGTGACAAATGTTGTCAGAAGTGGGATTTTGATGTTAGCTTTGATCAGTGATTGTTTTTTTAAAGAATGTTTTTTGTGTAAATTGGATTGAACGTTGGAAAAAATATTGTAGTATTTTCATGTATTGAAGCTATAATATTTTTTTTATTGTATTGTTGTAGAGAGACGTTCAGAGAGAAGTTAAGGGACCCTGAGAGGAGAGGAAGTTACCATGAATTAGTTTGTATTATGAAGGTTTGCTTTCGATTTAGTTCGGTTTTCCTGGAGTGATATTTTGTTTTGCTTTTTTGGTGTCAATTTGTGTAGTTTGCAGTTTGGTTTGATTACCTGAGTTTTGTTGAGATGGATTTGTTAAAAGAGCTTACTACATATGGTCAAAGTTTGGAGTTGACGGGAGCGGATCTTCAGAGGTTTATCCGTGAACAGCAGGCACATCTGCGAGAACTCAGAGTTGAGCAAAGAGAGAGACAAAAGGAGGACAGAGACTATGTGTTGAAGAGAGAAGCTTTGGAAATAGAGAAGCTCCGTCTAGAAGAAAAGAAATCTCTAGATGCACTCGAAAGTAAGTACCAAGCTAATCTACAAGAACTTATATACCAGTTGAGTTTGAAAGATACAGAATCTAAAGCTGCTAAGTCAGACATGGTTCATTAGCCAAGGTTCCTAAAATGGCATACTTTGATGAGGTTAAAGATGACATAGACTCTTTTCTTAGACGTTTCGAAAGATACGCTATAGCACAGAAGTGGAACGAAGGAATGTGGGCCGTGAATTTATGCGCATTACTTAAAGGACGAGCTCTTGATGTCTATGCCCTACTTCCACAAGAAAAGGCTCTGGATTATGCAGCCCTTAAAACAGCTTTGCTGAGGAGGTTTGAGAAAACAGAGGACGGTTTTCGAGAATATTTCCGTAGGTGTAGACCAGAGGTAGGTGAAACCTTTACACAATTCGCAGTTCGATTAGGAAGTTATCTAGGTAGATGGATTGAGTTTGGAAAAGTTAACAAAACTTACAACGGACTATATGACTTAGTGTTGCGAGATCAGTTCATATCAATTTGTAATAGAGACTTATCGTTGTTCCTAAAAGAGCGTATCCCAAAAAGTATTGAAGAGATGTGTATGTTAGCGGATCAGTTCAAAAAGGCACGTCATGTTAACATATTAACTTTAGTTTCTTCTAGCAAAAAGGAGACGACAGTTGAAAACAGAAATCCAATCGCAGCAAGAGATCAATACAGCCAGAAGGAGCAAGTGTCGAAGACTAATGGTCAGTCCTTTTTACAACAGAAGAAGACAGGGAACGATATTCGATGCTACAAGTGTTCCAGGCTAGGACATATAGCCTCGCAGTGTAAACAGTCATCAAGTAAGAATCAAAGCTTTGCGGTGAAAACGGATACTTCAAGTGAGTCAGGAAGCAGTTTGAAGTAACACAGAGATTCAGGCAAGTGCTCTGCTTTTACATCTATAACATCAACTTCAACATTTTCAATGGCAAATTCGTCAGACTTATTAACTACAACAGCTTGCAGTGTAGCTAATTTCTCAGATCAGATGCCTGTTTGTGTTGGTGAAATTAATGATCAGTCTCTTCAAGTACTTAGAGACACGGGATGCAATAGTGCGTAGGAGTCTTGTCCATGATGATCAACTTACTGGAGACCATCAAGTGTGTGTTTTGGCGGACGGATCCAAAATTGAAACCCCTATCGCAAAGGTGGATGTTGACACTCCATATTTCGTAGGAGAAGTGAATGCATGGTGCCTAAAAGCTCCATTATATCCTTTGATTATCGGAAACATCTCGCATGCTAGAGATCCTCACGATCCGAACAAGGACTGGAAGCCTAGTGTTGTGAATGTTGTAGTGACTAGACAACAGAAACGCATGGAAGGTAAGAAGATAAAACCTCTTTCTGTTCCAGAAATAATAGGATCTGAAGTTTGTCCAGAGGATATGTTAAAAGCAAAGGAAGAAGACGAGACGCTGAAGAATCTCAGAGCTTTGGTTGGAAAGGAAACTAACGGCAACAGAGTAAAGTCAATTTTGAAGAAAGGTATGCTGTTTCGAGTTTTCCAGTCAGAGAAAGTCGAGAATGGTAAGCAGTTTACTCAACTAGTTGTTCCTAAGAAGTACAGAATGAAAGTTTTATCACTTGCACATGAGTCTTTAATGGCAGGTCATTTAGCTACATCCAGGACAATTGATAAAGTGCTAGCTGAGTTTTATTGGCCAGGAGTTCAGGCTGATGCAAGACGGTTTTGTCGATCGTGCGACATATGTCAGAGGACTACTCCTAAAGGTAGGACAACTAAAGTTCCAATGAGTGTAATGCCGATCATAGATGAGCCATTTAGACGCGTAGCAGTTGATCTGGTGGGACCAATACAGCCAATGACTGATAACAGTAATCGTTATATTTTAACTTTAGTTGACTTTTCAACACGCTATCCAGAAGCGGTTGCACTCAACGGTATAGAAACTGAAAGAGTAGCTGAGGCTTTAGTAGATATATATTTTGCAGAATCGGAGTTCCGAAAGAGATGCTGACAGACAT